TTTGGGAAAATATTCAATTGCTAACCAAATCACAAATCTTTAGCAGTTCTCTTCTCCTTTTTTCACTTTTACTTGCTCTTCTTTCTACCTATCGCTTGCATATCTTTTTGTAAAATTAGAATCAGTTCATTTTAAAAAATATTGAAATAGAAAGTTTTATGTGCATTGTGAAAATAATTTATGATGCTTTACCTTTAGTTTATTTTTTTCCCCTTTGTACCAATGATTGAACCCAGGGATGCTTAACCACTGAGCTGCATCCCCAGCCCTTATTTATTTACTTATTTTAATTTTGAGACAGGGTCTCGCTACATTGCTTAGGGCCTTGCTAAATTGCTGAGGCTGGCTTTGAACTTATTATCCTCCTGCCTCAGCTTCCTGAGTCATTGGGATTGCAAGCATGTTCCACAGCATCCAGCTCCCTTTACTTATTTTTCATTTAGTTTTATTCAAATGCATTTATTCAGTTCCTATGTATTAAGTGTAAAAACCAAAGTGTCTTAGTTGTTGAAGGTAAACAATAATGGCAATCCATATTTTTGCCCTCAGAAAAAGTGTGAGCAAATTTGTCTGGATGATTCCTTCGTTAATCATACAATTATCTCTTAACTTGTGTTTCTCAGACACAGGTGGCCACTAGGAGATTTTCTGGTTTATAATTCTGCCCTTTGTCTTCTCTGCCAACCTGAATTCTTAAGGTTAATATCTAATCTTCACAGGAACTCAAATTCTCTCTTTGAATCTAAGGTAGAAGGTATTATCAGATTAAGAATTTCCCTGTGATAGTGTGTAGAGAGAGTGAGTCAATCTGACTTGTTTTATTGGTCAGGGGGTAAAATTGCATGAGGCAACCAATCTATCAATCTAGTAATGCCTTGAGCTGGGTAGCCACCCTATGGAGTGTGAGAACAAGTGGGAGAAGTGAGACCTTTGGTAGATGTCAGGTTCTACTCCTCTTCTCTTCCATGTTTCATCATCTAACTGTTCTGGGTCATGGTATTAAATGTTACATTTCACTACAGTATCAGTTTATGCACCTAAAGCAAGATTACACATCCTTGATTCCACAGAGAAAAGGAAGAGCAACCTTGAGTAGGATGTAGGCTCCTTGAGTTGTTAGAGGTCCTGGTATTTCTTTTATTTTGTTTCTACTGGGACCAGTTTGCCCCCTACTCAAAGAATAACTGTTCTCCTCTTAAAATTCTTAATCAAGTATGGGCAAACCTATCTTCACTTGTTATTATTGCTCCTAGAAATGGCCATGCACAATTTAATTGTGCTAGAGCTCAGTTTTTGAACTACAAAATGGGTATAATTATATAATTATAATAATAACATTTTGCACAGGCCTCTTATAAAGAACTAATAAGGTATGTGAAGGGATCAATTCAAAACCTGGACACATGCATGCTACCACAAGAGAAAGCAGGCATTATATTGAAGATCAAACAAATAACATTAAATTCAAATGGGAAGATAAATGGGCAGTATATATTAAAACTGAACATATGTACATCCTATGCCCCAGCAATTTCCATAAATGCACATTTATAATGTGTACTGTACATAGCTAGAAAGGAACAAAATCCCATCAACAGTGAAGTCAATATGTTGTGGCATACACATAATGTGGAATACCATCGGGCAATTGAAAGTAATCAACTATAGTCACACAACATGAAGACAATTCATAAACATAACGCTGAATAGATGAGCTAAGCATGAGGAACATTGTATAATTCAATATATATAAATGTTTTAAAAAGGGAAATAATAGAAATGAATCAAATCAAATAAAATGGTCAACTGTGTGATCAATTAAGGGAATGACAAAGTTGAAACGGGGGATCTTCCAAGATCTGTTTCATGTTCTATTTCCTATCTGAGTAGTTGTTACGTGTGTGTATTCTCTTTGTAAAATTTAACTGAGCCACACACATATATTTTGTATGCATTTATATGTATGTTACACTTAAAATAAAAATTAGATTTAAAATGAAACAATGGGAAAAGCCATGCTATCTCTTAGAAATTCAAGAACTGAATACTGACTGGGACATTCTAGAATGGCTTAAATTGCTAGGTTTTAAGTTCCACCAGTATGTCAGCTTTTACACCTGAATCTAGGGAGATGGTCATATCTCCATGGAGAAGAGGGGGAAATAATATTTTTAAATATTATAGAAATACCTACAGAAGAAAAAAAAGAAACTAGAAAAGTTACATTAGAAAGGGACTCCTTGGTTTATCCTGTACTTTTCTGAGAATTGTTATGCCTGCTTTGCATACAGAGCCCAATGTAAGGAAAATAAAGTGATAAGATTACAGAGTGAATAAGAAACAGAACTGAGATTATTCTAATTCAAAGTCAGCACTCCCCAGTACACAGTGCTTTGTTTCCAAATAGAGGTCCTGGAAAAGATGGAAAAGAGCATCTTTACTATATGCCAAGAATAAATTAGCATTTTAGGACATGAAAGAAATGTTAAGCCTATTATATGGCCAATGAACATCTCAAACTCAGAATCCTGAAAACTTAATGGATCACCATGTCCCACTTCTTGGAATCTCCTCCAGTCCTCTCAAACTTGGTGAATGGCTCACTCAGATTTGGAGGACAAAAATTCCATTCATAGTTTTTGTTTTTACTCTTCACTTTCTTACATTAGCCATGTCGAATTAATTATCAATTTCTGATAATTATCACAAATGATGATGCATATTGACTGGGTGGAAAACATCTGTTTTTCATATATTATCATTATGTCAACAATATTAAAAAAACAAAGGAACAAATAACCAAACTGTTAAACAGGTTAAGCATTGAGCTAAAAGTTCTACACATAATAAATGGCAATGTAAAGATCTGAATCACGTTCTCACTGACTAGAACAATCTTGTAGGTATAATTCCCAAACTCTTTCATGACCTTTTTCCTGTAGCTATCCCCAAAATCATAATTTGACTTAATTGTACTCCACTTCAAATTTCAAGCCACCGTCCTGTCTTACCTGGAGTCAGACAATAATTTCAAACCAGTTCTATTTCCCTACTTGTGCCTTGCAATGTAGGGAAGCAAATTATGGCATGAGACAGCCTGAGGTCTACTCTCATGTCCATAATTTCATAACCGCGACTTAGAGACAAGTTACTCAATCTCTTTATGCCTCAGTTTCTTCAACTATAGAGTGATACTGTAAAATCTATTATGTTTCTTTTAATGAGTTAATTAACAATGTCATTTAAAAAATGACAAAACTGAATTTTCAGTAAATGCCCTTAATAATGATGATTGCTATATCAATAATATAAATAAAATATAATATTTTTCTTTATTTGTAGATATAGTTAAATTCTAAAAGTCACGTAAGAGTATGATCTTTCTGTATATGGTATAATAGATGTTAACATTTCCAGGCTTACCCTTAGCACAGAGTGAGGACAGAGATACTTCAATGCAGTGTGTTCTCAAAATAAATTAATTAATTAAATGGATAGAGATAGATATATAGATAGATAGATTATTAAACAGAAAATTCAATAAAATGCCCATGAAAAAACACACTATCTACTGTGTCACGAGTGATCTTCCTGGGTAGTTTATCCTGTTCTTTTAAAATAGTTACCAATTCCAGTCTGAGAGACATGCTTTTTCATACATAGATTGTAAGATCTTGGAGTAGGGTATACTCATTTACAAAAGTATGTACTATAGGTAAATCTGATAATAATACTTTATCTCCTCTGGGACATTCTTGAAGTAGAAGATCTAACAATCTAAGAAATTACAATTTCACAATATAACGATGGTCAAAAAACCTCTAATGTGTGCTTCACAAGAAACATGTTCTATTCTCACACAATCCAAAAATCCCATGTCCAAAACTAGAGCAAGGCAAATTTTCTTCACTTTATTTATCAGAACACTAATAAATAATTCTTCACTTTATTTATCAGAGATATGTATAGGGAAAGCAAATAAGCCCTGCAATGAAGTTTATTCTTTTACACTCCATCATCTTTTCTTTCCAGGAGCCACAAATGTGGACATCTAGCAAAAATGTCCTGGTGAGCTGCTTTGACAACTGCACTTTCCTTTCTGCACTGAATGGGTTGGTTTTTGTCCCTCAGCAAACTTAATGTCAAGGCCAGCTTGCCTATGCACAAGGCATTGCAACTCCATCTCTGTGTTAGTAGAAGTTCTAGGAGGGATGTCATGTTATCTGAAGATGCTGGCCATTTCCTTATTCTGTATGATACTTGAGGATATGGATCCCTAGTGAGGTTTTGTTGTTGTTGTTGTTTTGTTTTGTTTTTGTTTTTGTTTTAGGAGACTTGAGTAGTCATTAGATCCTGGACTCTCTTTTGTACAGCATCCTTACTTGCAGTGCTCTGAGGACCCAATTCCTTTGTAGTAATCATCATCTGAGTCCAGGCTGCAATCTTAGAAAAAATAGTACTATCTCTGGGGATAAAGCAGGTAAATTTGAAGAATTAATTTACCTCTTGTAACTTCCTCTCAAAGAGGAGGGTGGAACTAGAAAGTAATGCTACTATAGGAACTCTAAATTTCATTATTAATAACATTTCTTTGACATCTGTAAAGACAATCCTAAACTGAATTTCTATGACTAAATAGTAATTCTAACATAAATGCAATTCTATGTATTATGCATAATTTCTCTAGGCCTTTTTCCTGAATATATTACTCATTTAATGTAATATATACATTTTTATTGCTGGCAAAACTCTTTTAACTTCATATGTAAGGATCAGAAAATAGGAGAAGTGATGGAGGTTTTGATGATAGATGAGTCACTGAAGACAAAGAAACGCCTTGGAGAACAATTGGACCTGAAGTCTAGCAACCTTAGTGTCCTGCCTCAATTTCTTAGGAAGTCTCTACAAATTTTTTTGTCTTAAAAATGACAATACTAGAGAGTCCGCTTACCGACGCTGGCCCGCCGCGGCATCCTGGAAGCGGCAGCGGCTGGAGCAGTGTGGACTCTCCAGGTTCAGCACTCATTTGATGACAACTCCTGACTCCAACTGATTGAGGTTCCTGTTGTGTCTTAGTGCACTGTTTCGCTTGCTGGGGCTAAGATGGACCTTGTTCTCAGTGCCGCAGATTATTATTTTTTTACACCATACGTATATCCAGCCACATGGCCAGAGGATGACATCTTCTGACAAACTATTAGTCTCCTAATTGTGACAAATCTTGGCGCTTATATCCTTTATTTCTTCTGTGCCACATTGAGCTATTATTTTGTGTATGATCATTCATTAATGAAGCATCCACAGTTTTTAAAGAATCAAGTGTATCGAGAGATTAAGTTCACTGTCCAGTCATTACCCTGGATAAGTATCCCCACTGTTGCATTGTTCCTGCTAGAGTTGAGAGGTTACAGCAAATTATATGACAACATAGGAGAGTTTCCAAGTGGTTGGTTTCACCTTATTGTCAGTGTCATCTCCTTCCTCTTTTTCACTGATATGCTGATCTACTGGATTCACAGAGGCCTTCATCATAGACTTGTATACAAGCGTATCCATAAACCTCATCACATTTGGAAGATACCCACTCCATTTGCAAGTCATGCTTTTCACCCAGTGGATGGCTTCCTTCAGAGTCTACCTTACCATATATACCCTTTTATCTTTCCGTTACACAAAGTGGTTTACTTAGGTTTGTACATCTTGGTTAATATCTGGACCATTTCCATTCATGATGGTGATTTTCGTGTCCCCCAGATTTTAAAGCCATTTATTAATGGCTCAGCACATCATACAGACCACCACATGTTCTTTGACTATAACTATGGACAGTACTTCACACTTTGGGATAGAATTGGAGGTTCATTCAAAAACCCTTCCTCCTTTGAGGGGAAAGGACCACTTAGTTATGTGAAGAAGATGGCAGAAGAAAAATGCAACAGCTCTACAGAAAATGGTTGTAAAAATGAAAAATTATGTAATGGAGAATTTACAAAGACTAAGTAATTATTGCCCAATTATTCTTAAATATTTTTAATAAGGAAAAATAATCTACACACAGCCAAGATACACAGCAAGTAATTGGTATCATTTGAAAATCAGCATTGTGTGTTCGGCTAAGGAATGGTGACAAAGTAGGTCAAGGAAAGATGGTGTGACCATCAAGATTAGAGTCTCATGCTTAAAATGCCAGCTGCTGGCCCAGGGGTCAATTTTTGTCTTTCCAGCCAGCAGATCTATAGTTTGATTAGCCTAAAGAACAATTCTAAATAAGATAGAAAATATACTACTAAGGGGAATAGGCTATATCCTTTTCCCTTAATCCACCTGTATTCATTAAGAAAAATTCATTGTGCTTAATAATACCAAGACTAAGCACCATAACCAAAAAATACTAATATAGAGATGGTTCCTTGTTCCAGGAATGGTTAAGTCTTCAGTGTTGGTATGATAATGAATATTCATAGGACTTTGTTCAAGTGGAAATGTCAGTGTGAAAAAGAAAATTTGATATATTAGATAGCTATGTCAATAATTTAATGGCAGATATAATAAAATGATTATCTTCCTATACATAGGAGCCTCATTTTCTGGGACACTGTCAAATAGTCCATTTTACTGATGAATAAAAAAATGGAAATTTTTTAAAAAATCAATTCTACCATGATTTAATCCAGATATGGGATTATTTAGCTAGAGATGTTGATGCTTCTCATTTAAAAACATTATTTAATAAGTATAAAAAATGGAATCTGAATATAGTTAGAGAAATTTGATGCCAAAGTAATATATTTGGCACTACTGATTTTTTTAAATAAAATTTATGCACTGCACTTTTGATATGTTTTAAAGTTACAAATCCATCATTGTTTATAAAAGGAAGTAATTGCCAAATATTTAGGTCTTCTTCTGAAGATTTGTTTTGAAATCTGATTCTCCTATTTCTCTACTTTTCCCAATTGCCTCTGCAAAAAGGCTTAACAAATACTTTCATAAAGAAATGTGTGTATTGTAACATAAATATATTGGAAAAACATGTTTTGTAAAGGCATTCTACTGTTTATCAATCAATAAAAGTTGATCATCCTGTTAAAAAAAAATGACAATACTAAGCGAGATCCTCTTGGCCTATTCTGGAATTTCCAAGGGAAAAATTTGGATATGTTCAATAAACACAGTATTTATTGTGATAAATGAAATGGTTCACTTTAGTTTAAAGATAATTGTTTTTAAGTTGATCTCTTAGCTATGGTAGATATGTGATTACCAGTAGTTGGAGCAGGGCCAGTGGAGGAGGGGAAGATTAGGCAGAGAAACTGTTGATCAAAGGGTACAAAGGTGCAGTTAGAGAAGAAGATTAAGTTTTAGGGCACTGCATGGCGATCACAATTAATATTAATGTGCTATATTTCAAAATTCCTACATAGTAGATTTTTAACATCCCATGTAAAAAATGATGAATTGTTGAGGTGATAGATATGTTAATTAGATTGAATCTTTCTAAAATGTGTACCTAGTTAAAAACATCATACTGCACTTCATAAATGTTTATGATAACTGTAAAAAATGAACAAGAAAACACAAATAAATAGGATTATTTGTAATTCCTTTCCCTCTTTCTATTTTCATCTTTTATTCAGCATTTGATACATTCTTGTGGTTGGTTTTAAGTAGTCTCTCATTTTCTTAAAGAAAAAGTATTAAAATAAACAAAACAGATAAATTAATCATTCATCATAGTCCGATCAAATCATCTAAATACTGATGGAAACTTGAAAATGCAGGTAGCTATAATTAAATGTACACTGTCATATATGTTTATCTAGACTGTAAGTTATGGATAACAGCTTTTTTAAATATTTTATTCACGATGGGGATGATATTTATAGAACTTTCATAAGACAACATATTAATACAAAATAGATAAATAAGACAAGTTGATGGTCACAAACATTTAGGAAAACTGGGCTTTTAAGCCTACTTTGAGTTTGTGATGAAGAATCCTCTCTGATATTAGCATACACAGAAACTCTAAACTCCCAATTCTTTGGATAAGTTTTGTAGGAGGAGGTGGTTATCTCTTCAGCCAAGCCAAGGCCCAAGAGGGCTGAACTCACTTATGCTTATACTGCTCTGAAAGAAACTTGCTTCACCAGTGAAGAAAGGAGAAAAATACAAATGACCACTGCTGTCCTCTAGTGGTGTCTGAAGGAAGGATCATTAGAAGAAACTTTTTTTTGGTACCGAAGATTGAACTTAGAGGCAGTCTACCACTGAACCACACCCCCAGCCCTATTTTGTATTTTTATTTAGAGACAGGGTCTCACTGAGTTACTTAGCACCTCGCCATTTCTGAGGCTGGTTTTGAACTCACAATTCTCCTGTCTCAGCCTACTGAGCCACTGGGATTACAGGTGTGTGCCACCAGGCCTAGCTAGAAAAATCATGTTCAAAGGGTGATAGGACATGTGTGGGTACCATTCAGTGATTATGCTGGAAAAACAAGCAAAAACTGGACTCAACTATATTTGGTGAATTAATAAATTTTTATGATGATTTTATTTACTTTGGAATTGTATATTATTCATATTAAATTAGAGCACTTCATTTAAAAAATATTTTTTAGTATCTCAGCTCCAGAATTATTACGTTAGTAAGTCTAAGCATGCATTCTTCATTTTTCCTTCTCACTGGAATTTCTGTCCTGGAGCAGCAACGTATTTGATTCTTCATTCCTATCTCTTCCATCTATGTCACAGAGCTTTTGGGCAATGGCATGGTGCTCCATGTGATCTGGACTGAGACAAACCTGCAGCAGCCAATATTTCACATCATGGCCAACCTGTGCATGTGTCTGTCCACCACGACATCATGCACACAGTGCTGGGAAACCTGTGCATATTCAAATGGGAAGTTAGCTCATATTTCTGCACTCCCTGCTCCTGTTTTATTCTTCCTCTATCCTTCAAGGAATTGACTGTTCTTTGTAGCTTGAACCCACTTCATTATTCCTTCAACCTGAAAATTCTGGGATTATCAACATTGGGCAGTGTATTAGGTACGAATTCATCCTTTATTATACCCCTTATGATCCATACCAACCTAACTTGTTACTATTATCTCCACATTCTCTATTGCTCTTTTTATTTCTACCTGTTTTCTGTTTCTCTGCCTAGGCTGTTGAGACATATGATTAAACAAATACCATGACCATTGCCAGCCATTTAAAAAATTTTGTTGGCTATTCATCCTCTTTCTCTGTGTCCTGATTTTTAATTCAGTCTTGGCAATTGTCTTGAAGGAGGGGTGGAATAAATCATTTTGGAATTGTAACTCCCACTTCTATGTTGTCCTTGTGTTCTACATTCCTATTGTTAGGCTAAAAATGGTGCATTGTTTTTCTAAGTGTTTCTTTCCCATTGTCCAAGTCTGTGCCCTGCATTTCCCATCATCTATAGTCAAGACCCAACAGATTACTCAGACAGAATACTCAGACTGATTCCTCTGAAAAAATATTGCAATACTCAGATTTTAAAAAATGTAACATTGGGTAGTATTGACATTTTAAAAATATAAATAACTCAAATGTATTAAATTGGAGGTCTTTCCAAAAATTTTTGTGTCTTTCTCAATTTATTTAATCAATGTTTCTTAAATATTCATGGTATAAATTGTTCACTTCTTTGGTTGTTTATTTCTATGTGTTTTATTTTATTTTATTGTATCTGTTGTGAATAGGATTATTTTCAATATTTCTTTCATACCAATTTTGTTATTGACATTTATAGAAAGCCAACTGATGTTTGTATTTTGATTTTTGTATTTTGCAACTTTGCTGAATTTATGGGTTCTAATTGTCTTCTGGTGGAGGCTTTAGATTTTCCTATAAAGTAGTATGATATAATCTACAAACAGAAATAATTTGAACCCCTGCCATTTATTATATGGGAATTTTATTTATTACAGATTCAATACAATTCTTATCGAAATACCAATAATACTCTTCACAAAGTAGAAAAAAATTATTAAAACACATAGGGAATCAAAAAGACATCAATAATCAAGGAAATCTTGAACAAAAAGAACAAATCTGAAGGCATCACAATACCTGATTTCAAGACATACTTCAGAGCAATATTAACCAACACGGCAAGTATTTCTTGATATTTTTGTATATCAACCAAAACCTATCTATATTTTTCTTTCTATGTATTTGCCTTTCCCTCTTCTTTGCTTTTATATTTCATCCAATTAAGCAATCTCTTTGTTCTTTAGACTTAGAATATGGAAAGCAAAACTATCAGATTTGGTTTCCAGTGATTTAAGTCTTTTTTGGGGGGTAGGTTTTACTGGGGATTGAACTTGGGGGTACTCAACCACTGAGCCACATCCTCAGCCCTATTTTGTATTTTATTTAGAGACAGTGTTTTACTGAGTTGCTTAGCATCTTGCAGTGGATGAACTAGCTTTGAACTCACTATCCTCCTGCCTCAACCATCTGAGCCACTGGGATTACAGTGAGGGGAAAAAAAAAGTCAATCCAGCGGGGTGAGAGTAGTAGCTCAGGGAAGAGCACTTGCCTAGCATGTGTGAGACACTGAGTTAGATTCTCAGCACCACATAAAAATAAATTTTAAAAATAAATTTATTGTGTTAGTCTACAAATAAAAGACTTTTTTAAAAATAACCATATAGCTACTCTATCATCTTACTAATGGGAATTCTAGAAAGATAGAAAGGAGAAATATAGGAGAAATTTATTTAGACACTGATATAAAGCTTTTCCTTGAACAAAAGAAAATAAGAGTTTTAATTGAGGGCATTTTCCAAGTCCCCAATACAAAACATAACATTAAATAATGTTTCATGGTAAGAGAATAAAAAGACAAGCACACATCAAGAAAATATCTGCAAAATACATTATCTGATAAAAAAGATTTGTATCTGAACTATACAAAGAACTTTTAAAATTCAACAATAAGGAAATAACCTAGTTAAAAAATGAG